TCACGGAAACAATTAGATTTTAATGTTAGAAAACAAATTAAAACCATATTTACATTTCAATATTTATGTAAAAACATTTATAGAAAACAAAAACATTTAAAAATAGTTAATGGAGAACATTTCATTCCTAGACAGTGCTAATATGTTGTGCTGTTCTGAACAAAGTTTGTGTTTAATCCCTGGACTGTAAGTATAGTGCGGCATGACTATTCCTGAACATATACTCCACAGAGAATCTATCCTATACAAGACAGACATTAAAGCAGGACTCCGGGCCCACATTTTATTAACCCGTGCAGTGGGGCTTCTCCCGCACTGCAAGGGTTAACAGCTTCTTTTTGTCTAGATTATACTCACCCAATCATCAGAGCCAGCAGTGCTCCCTCCAGCCTGTCCCTTCGTCCACTACAGCAATGGTATGTCATTTGACGTCCTCACCTCCTATACACTGTGTCTTAGAATGCAATGACTCAGGGACCTTAGACCACTGCAGAGGAGAGGGAGAGAGGTGGAAGGGACTAGGGCTGCAACAACTAATCGACATAATCGATTATTGAAAAAGTTGTCAACTTTTTCAATAATCGATTAATCGGCTTCCGATCAGTTGGCCCTGTTCACGGCTCCACACACGCTGCGCGCCGCACCTCCTCCCCACCTCACACTCGCCGCTGCCAGACCCGCCCGCATCCATGCTCTTCACGCCGCACCTCCTCCCCGCCTCACACTCACCGCCCGCCCACATCCACGATCGGCACAGGGATGCGGGGAGATGTAGTGAGGAGCAGGCGTGGGGGGATGACAGCCGCCGATAGACAGGTCCAATCTCAGAAGCAAGTTGCTGGAAGACTGCTCAGGTAAGCCTGCACTTTCCCCCCCACATGGCGCTCTATAATGTATTGCTGGGATTTGTATTCCTCTATAGCTGATGGTACATTGTGCTGTATATTATACATGGGAATACAAATCCCAGCAATACATTATACACTGTATGTATAATGTATTGCTGGGATTTGTTGTACTCCTCTATAGCTGGTGATATTCTGCACTGCGCTGTATAGAGGACTACAAATGCAAGCAATAATACATTATACAGCGCAATGCAGAATACCACCAGCTATGGAGGACTACAACAAATTCCAGCAATAATACATAATACAGTGGTGCAATGCCGAATACCACCAGCTATAGAGGACTACAAAACCCAGCAACAGTACATTATACAGAGCAATGCAGAATACCACCAGCTATAACGTACTATTGCTGGGATTTGTTGTAGTCCTCTATAGCTGGTCATATTCTGCATTGTGCTGTATAATTTATTATTGCTGGGTTTTGTAGTCCTCTATAGCCGGTGCCATTCTGCATTGATTGCTGTATAATTTTACACTTTCCTTTTCACTATATTGCACACCACACTATTTTTTTTCTTTTTTACTTCCACCACTCCAAGCTTGCTCCTGTGATGGAGTGCAATCTCAATACAAACTAGTAGTCCATCACTGGAGCCATTTTTAAAAATGTATTTTATTGTTTATCCGATTAACCGAACTTAATAATCGGCTAACTAATCGATTTTGAAAATAATCGTTAGCTGCAGCTCTAGAAGGGACGAGTCTTAAAGCAAGCCGGCTCAGAGAATCAAGAGAGTATAACTTTTTTAACCTAGACAAAAACAAGCAGTTAACCCTTGCAGTGCGGGGGGAATAGCCCCACCGCAAGGGTTAATAAAATGTGTGCCTGGAGTTCTGCTTTAAAAAGCCAGGGGGCTTTCTCAGAACTCCAGCCTCCACTGGTAGGATAATATTTGAATGGTTTGTAAGGGACAACATACAAGAGAACTTGGTAGAACATATTATAAAACTACAGCACAAATACACTATATTGCCAAAAGTATTGGGACACCCCTCACTCACTGGATTGAGGTGTTCCAACCACCTCCATAGCCACAGGTGTATAAAATCAAGCACTAAGGCGTGCAGACTGCTTCAACAAACATTTGTGAAAGAATGAGTCGCTCTCAGGAGCTCAGTGAATTCAAGCATGGTACCGTGATAGATTGCCACCTGTGCAATAAGTACATCTATGAAATTTCCTTGCTACTAAATATTCTGCGGTCACCTGTTAGTGGTATTATAACAAAGTGGAAGCAACTGGGAACAACAGCAACTCAGCCACAAAGTGGTAGGCCACATAAAATGACAAAGCGGGGTCAAAGTTTGGTGGAGGGGGGATTATGGTGTGGGGTTGTTTTTCAGGGGTTGGGCTTGGCCCCTTAGATCCAGTGAAGGGAACCCTTAAGGCATCAGCATACGAAGACATTTTGGACAATTTCATGCTCCCAACTTTGTGGGAACAGTTTGGGGATGGCACCTTCCTGTTCCACCATGACTGCGCACCAGTGCACAAAGCAAGGTCCATGAAGACATGGATGGGTGAGTTTGGGGTGGAGGAACTTGACTGGCCTGCACAGAGTCCTGACCTCAACCTCCCAGATAGCAAGGATAACTTGTGGCAGGGTGAAATTGTAATTTTTGTTAACTTGCTGCACATATTCCTGGCAAGTTGTAGACTTGCAGAACACTTGCAGCACAAGTTCTAGTTGACACTTTTTGAATTTGTAGCAAATTTGCTTGGCAAGTCTACAGCAAGTCCTGCAGGTCTAAGCAAGAGCTCTGCAAGCTCGCTGATCTGGAGACTTGCAATGCAGACTTGCTGTAATTGTGCAACAAAATTGTGAAGATTGGCAAGTCTGCAATACTTTAGCAAGTCATTTTCAAACTTGCAGCTCAATTGTTTGCTATCTGGGCTGATAGAACACCTTTGGGATGATTTAGAGTGGAGACTGCGAGCCAGGCCTTCTCGTCCAACATCAGTACCTGGCATCACAAATGGTCCAACATTCCCATAGACACACTCCTAAACCTTGTGAACACCTTCCCAGAAGAGTTGAAGCTGTTATAGCGGCAAAAGGTGGGCCAACTCAATATTGAACCCTACAGACTAAGACTGGGATGCCATTAAAATTCATGTGTTTGTAAAGGCCGGCACCCCAATACTTTTGGTAATATAGTGTATATGAAAAGCAGATCATGTCAAACAGTTTCGTTGATTATTATAATAGTAAGCAGAAACTTGGACAAGGGGATGGCTGTGGATGTAGTAGATTTGGACCTTACTGAAGTGCTTGGCATGAGTCCTCAGACAGCTAATGTGCAAATTAGAAGAGCCGTAATCAATGATGCTTGCTATGAACGGTCTAAGGTTAAAAGCAGTGTCTCTCAAGGTTCAATATCGGCGACCATTCGTTTTTACCTTATTTTTATCAATCAATAAGTTTGGGAATAAAAGAGCAGCATCCCTTTTTGCAGATCACACATCGTTATGTAGTAGAACAGGGGTCAGCAACCTCTTCCACATTCTGTTACTTCTAATGGCAATTTAAACTCAATTATTATCATATTAATAGGTGCACATATGAAAAATATCCACATATATTATTAAGATACCAAACAGTAAACCGGACTTACAGTTTTAATGTGATTCTCTTTCCCTGGCTTTCACAGCTTAGTTGTGCTATGTCTAGCCTGGAAGATGTTAAAGTGATTTTAAAGTCCAAAGGTTTTTAAGCTATTACAAATGCTGATTGAGCCAATTACTTGCAATCGATGCCTCTCCTTTATGTTGATAAGTTATAGTTTCCTGCAGAATCGACTGGTTGCCTGAGCACTGGTCCCGATATCCTGTTTTAGGGTGGCTGCTTTCCCTTGTAAGGTCCTAGGGAGCCACCCTGGTGTGTGCTAGTAAGCTGTGTGCGTGTCTCCCCTGCTACCCTCTTTTCCCTTTATGCGATTAGGAATTAATCACTATCCCTGGACGCACAGCCGATGTGTCCAGGGAAAGTGATTGATTCCTAACCACATGTAATTGTATCACACTCGATTGCATGCGGTGTGCCAGCGTTCTGCTCCTTTCAAATACCACTGCTGTCACATGATCATTAGCTTGAATGGACAACAGCTGCCACTTGTAAATGGCAGATCTGGAATTCCTGCTGCAGGAAATCGCAGGTTCCTGATGCAGGGATCCCTG